AGACTCTAGTCTCTTTCGAGCGGTTTGCTCCTTGTTCTGAAATTTCTCTAGTTCATTTCGAGCGGTTTGCTCCTTCTGCTGAAATTCTCTACCAACGGAAACCGTTACCGCTGAAATTGTCGGCTCTGAAAAATAACTGGGTTCTTAGGATAGGAACCGGGTTTCACCTTTTCGAGAATAGACACCAAGTTACAGCTTCGATGCTTGAGGGAGCAAAAGAAAGTTCTGAGGCACCTATCTTATAAGGGTTGATGGGTGTGGGCCTTCGGTTGAGGGGCCTCGGGCTCCGGGTTGCGCATTCGGGGCTGAGGCTTTCTGAGTAGGGTTCTTATGCGTGTTGGTAACTCTACATACTCAGGGGTTATAGGGTTTAGGGGCTTCGAACCATTGGGGCGAGGCCCTGGAGTTTATAAGCCTGGCAACGATCGATTCTTTCAGGAACCTGGGATCTCAGGACTTCTATCTTGAGAGGCTTCGGCTATGAGGGCTTAAAAAAGTTAAGCCTGTAATCTGATTCCCTGCCCATGTGGTGGATCCTCACCGCTGCGTCCTTTTGCCGCAGCCTCAGCTCGAAACACGGATCATTCGGGATTCCACGAACTTGCTGTATGCATCCTGCAAATATCGCTGTAGCACTCTTTCCGTGGCCCTCTGTACCCCTACGCGGCGCGATAATCTTGAAGGGCGCCCAACAAAGTCCTGATCTTGTTGTACGCCGTGGCATAACGGATGCAGCGAGGGTAAATGAGATTCTGCTTGTAAAAGAAGTTTCACGAATATGTGTTGTACGGCGTGGCATTTCGGAATGAAGCTGAATAGCGATTGGTTCCTGTCGTAAGCAAGCTTTGCAAGCGCCGAATAGCGTCTTAGAAAGCGGATTCCAAGTTCCGCGATCGGGTGGGCTATGTCTGGCGGCAAAAACACCGAATCATTCTGATAGAGCAAGCGCAAGCATTCATTCATCGTGGAAGTGGCTTCAGCCGCTTTGAGCAAGAGTTCATCGCTCGACACGTCCATGTTCTGAAATTTCTTCTCAAGAAAAAGCATCAAGTCTGTCGTAAGCTGACCCCGGTGCCAACTCCCAGTCGGGAAATCAGAACGAGTGTTCCAGCCTATGAAGTCCTGCGTCAGCTTGGGCTGATACACACCTGCTTTGAAAGCTTTCCATTCACGGTTCAAGAGTTCGAAGCGACTGTCAATGTTTGAGCCTGCTGTTACATCGGACAAAACGGCGATGCATGAGGACACGTGCACCTTCCCCACGCCAAGATGGAAAGCGTGAAATATGTCAAAAGCAAAAATGTCGGCCGCCTCGCCCACAGAGTGGTCCAATCGTGCAAAGCTCGGTGGGGTTAACCACATCGTGGCCAGCCAGGCTGGCCTTCGGCTGTGGATTTCTTCGAACGGAACACCATTCTGGCCTGCTCGACATAAATGGCATATGCCAACAGGATCTTTGGGCTTCTTTGAGCTTGCAGCCTTTGCTTTCGCCTTTGCCCCAGCCTTGACCATGTTGTTGTAGGTGCGGCAAAGGCCACCAGCTTTGTGAAGCCAGCCCCAATCGCCCACCACGTTGAGGACTACCATGTAGCCTTTGCGTCCCATCTTTCGTTCGAGACGCCCTCTCGTGCCATAAACAAAGCTTCTGCCACTGCATTGTCGAGAACCGTCCCAAAAATGCTTTGCTCGGAATACATCAGCTTGGGTAGGACGGCGTGACAGAAACGATTTGTAAGGCTGTGGCCAACATAGTTGCATCGCAGCTTGAGGTATTTGCCAGGCCTCTTGTCCCGAGCATCCTTGTCCAGTGCTGCTTGTATGCCACGTCCCAAAATGGAATGGTAGTTGGTGACCAACCATCCCTGGCGACGCCGTCCACGTCCCTCGTCCCCGTGGTAGACCATCGGCACAGTGTCCTCCAGGCTCAAACCCAGTTGAAAAATTGTATGGTTCGGGTGAAGGCGCCTGTACTCAGCCCAAAATCCAGAAAGGATGGCCCGTTCCCGCCTAATGTCCGGGGATCGTAGTCCACACAGTGTGTGCCAGAGGTTGTGGTCGAGGAGATATTGTGCCCAGTCTCGTAGACGCAACACAGGGAAACGAAGCTTCGTATCAGATTCATCTAAGTTTCGGAGCGGAATTGGCAGGGCCAGCTTGAACTTTTTCGTGAGTACTCGGTTTGTGTCACGCTCAGCATTCGACAGGCTGCAGTCTGCAACCCTTTTCAGTCCCCGTGAAGAACTGGCAGCCTCCGTGCCTAAATCCGCAACAATGTTGCGGGCCGTCCGCACCACCGCCTTGGCAGGAACCTCGGCGCATGGGAAAAGCCACATAGAGTCGGCTGATGCTTTTGATTGCTCGGCAATGCTCATGCATGCTTGTGCCACTGCATGGTCTGCTACACCGCACTTGCAGTCGGAGTCACTGTCGTCCAATTTTTGCTAACACCCCCTCCTGCTAGCATTCGAAGCATACGTACATACGGTATATACAGTTCACAGCTGTGCTGCATCACTTTGGAGAGCGCTTGAATGTGCCGGCCTCTTTTGGAGGATGCTTGAACGATCTGTACACGATGTAGGTCATGTAATGGCAAGCTGAGTCAGCTGAGGCGTCCTTGATACCATCCCCGCCGCGGTTGATGTTGCGACACCCAGGCCTGCCTTGGATGACACATGGACCATGCAAGTCAAGGTTCGGGTTTGGAATTCGGCAGTCTCGCCTATATACTTTGGCAAAACTGGGACAAGGCACTTTGATACTTGTCGATTCAAGCGGCCTCCAACATCGCTGGCCCGTGTGGGTTCATCGCCACGTACAAAACAACCATAGCATCCCACCGAACATAAGGATCATGGTAGTATCCAAAGAGGGAGTTTGCCCATCGAAAAGCAGGGTCGTGCGTCCAGCCGATTTTGAAAATCATAGGCGTGTGATCATTGAATAAGCGTTCGATGGTAGTTGATGCATGGAGAAGCACATTGCCTGCCAGGTGGCTTCCTGTTGGAAGCTGGAAGCAAATCTGGTCAAAGGCCCGACACCGAGCATACACCTCAGCTAGGCCACATGATGCTCGTTCCTTCTGCGGTAGCATGTAGTCCTGACACTTAGCAGCGGGGATGTTCGGCTCCGGTTCGGGTTGCTGTTGCTCATGCGCAACCTCGACCTCCACTGCTGTCTTCGATGCATGGGGACCATAGGAATCCTCGTTGTGGGCGGCTTGTGCTTATCCACCAAACTTGCATGATTATCTAGACATGGAGAAGCTGGTTTGCGGGAATAGCGTCGGATCTGTGACATGTTAAAAGCTCTCGCAGCTCTTCTTCTGCGTCTTCAGCGGTAAATACCATGATGCAGCCATTGCCATTCGAAGCCCCTAAAGCCTCTTTTGAGCCACAGATTCCAATTAATGAATGTCGTAAGCAAATTATCATGATCAGGATCACAGCACACCGCTGTTCACTCATGCAGGACTCAGTGGCTCAGAAGTACACAGCATCGCTAACTCCGGAGCACCACCGACTCAGGCGGGAACACCGGCTCCGATATCCGCGGCAAAGCCACGGAGCGCTTTGCCAGGCTGGTAACCTGGCACGGGATACAGCATTAATTGAGGTATTGACCATTTTACGGGGTGAGGTATTATAGGATCAACAAGGGTGGTAATTCCACTGTCATCGCTGATCTTCGGTGATGACATGTATAGACTGCATAGACCAGCGCTTGCGCAGCAATCTCTTGATTTTGTTCCCCCTTCGGACACATAGCAAGTGTTGGCCGGCATGTGGCACATGTGGCACAGCACCACACGTGCGATCATTAAAGGATCGCAAAGCACAAGCATGCAGCCCATAGCAGTGCAAGCTCAGACTTCGAGGGCTCAACTAAGTTGTCGATCAATCCCTGCGTTGGTTTAGGGTTTCTAGGCTTTCCAGGGTCATAGGGTTCGTATACCGACGGAAAATATTTAGATATGATTGCTAAAGGCCCTATATTATATATGCAGCCCTATATACATAAATAAAAAATATATAAGTATGTATAATGTAATATATATATATATAATAATAATAAAATAATATACTAATATAATAATATATATAATAATTATATAGTATATAATATATAGGTTCAAACGGCTCATAGGGTTTGTGGAAGTATGTCGCACCTTCACCTACACAGGAGTCTCACACCAACCCGTGCAAACCCTATCTATGCCTGAGCTAGCCTTTAATTGTTGTACAAACCTTTCGTACACACCAAGAGTGACCCACAAGTCCCCTTATGAGTTTGTATACAAGCAGTGAACCACTATAAACATCCAAAGGAGCCGTAAAACCAGACAGGGTGCATTAAGGGATATAGAGCCCAACTGCAGTCGGCACAGCTTGTGTCACCCGATACGTCGAGCTCAGGTTCAATCCCGGCTCTGATAACACCCCAGCAGGTTGCTCTGCCGAGAGCACAAAGTGAAACCTTTTAGGTTTTTTTGCGAAACGCCTTAGGCGTAGCCTTCGGAGCTTGTTTTGGCACAGCAAGAGCAGCTTTAGCCTTCGGAGCTTGTTTCGGCACAGCAGGAGAAGCTTTAGCCTTCGGAGCTTGTTTTGGCTCCGGAGAAACCTTCGGTGCCTTCTTGGCCTTCGGGTAGTACTTCTTGGAATTCCTGCAGCACATCGAATGCTATTGGTGGGATTACACCGGTTCGGGGCTTATCTTTTAAATTTTGGGGTATCTAGTGAAGGTCTATATATATATATATCAATTAGAATTTGGGTTTAGGGTTTAGGGCTTATAGGGTTTATAGGGTTTATAACCGTTATACCACCGATGCCGAGATACAGAGCCTCGACTCCCCCATAGATCGCCGATCTGATATATAACTCCCGTGTAACCCAACTCTCCCTTCTAGGCACTCCTAGGTTGCTTCTGAGGTTTGTAGATCTATAGGCTAGCAAAGCAAGGAAGCTAACAGCAGATTTGTCAAAACCCCTCGATCCTGATCCGCTGCTCCACGGCAGCAGCCTTGCCGGCCCTGCCAGCATTACACACTTGATCACATCACCGATTCAACTTATCAGATATACTGTTGTATTGACCGTCTCCCTGTGAAAACTCAGTCCCCAACGCCATGGTACCTTTCTTGATCTTCCCGTCAGCAAGTTTTTTAAACCTGGGCCCGGGGATTGTTTTAAATTTAGGCAGCTAGCTCTAGATCGAAGTGCACTATAAAATTCAGGCTGGCAGCTCGGCCGACAAGCCGTGAACCTCAGCGTGGACTTGGGCCACATTGCAGTCCTCGAAGGCGTGGTCCAAGCTTTGCACCGCTTTGTTCAGCTCGTCCAGAGCCCTGGGTACAGTCGGTACAATTTGGGGGTTCGGGCTTCAGGGTTTAACTCTCGATAGCCGATAAGTGGAAAGAGACTTTGTTTTGGAGAAGCGACGTCTTGGCTTGGGGTGATGCAGCGTAGTTGGTCTCCAGGTCCTTAATGAGGCCACGAAGTTTGCAAGACTTGTTATTCAGGGAGTCGCAGAACTTCTTCAGCGTCTCTTGCTCCTGACAGAAGCCAATACCCACGAAAAAAACTTGTGCTACAATTGGTTCTGGGATGTTGCTGGCGTCACGACAAAAGTGCACGTACTTCCTGGCCTGCATGTACTGGCCACTTTCCCTTTGACTGCTAGCAAAAGACTCGTCTTTGTCGAAGCGCTTCTCCATTGACTCGAGCCCAGCAAAGCTCTTGCCAGAAATCTCCACGGGTCCACCCTGGTCCGACGACACGGATCGAGTGAGGGGCTCAGATACTGGACACAACCATAGAAAGTAGTAGTAGTAGTAGTAGTAGTAGCAGTAGCAGTAGCAGCAGCAGCAGCAGCAGCAGCAGGAGTAGTAGTAGTAGTAGTAGTAGCAGCAGTAGTAGTAGTAGTGGCGGCAGTGGTAGTGGTAGTGCTAGTGGTAGTGGTAGTGGTAGTAGTAGTAGTAGCGGCAGCAGCAGCAGCAGTATGCAGCAGTACTAAGCAGCAGCAGTAGCAGTCACACTCGGCAGGCCTGCTCCTTCTGGCTCTGGCGCTCTTCACGTGTGACGGTCTCCTTGCGTTCTCCTCGCTCTCGAACCGTAACCCAGAATTCCAGCTCCCCGTCGTAGACATTGGCACTCAGATGAAAGCAAAAGTGTGTATAAAGATTTCCACATGCACACTTCAGATCATGCAGCCTTAACTCGAGATCAGATGGTTGACCATTGCAAGCAAAGTAGCCGCACATGGGTGTCCTTGTTGGCCATGCAGTGGCGCTTCACCCCCTCGATTCGAGACCTTATGTTGAAAAAGCGGTTTCTAGCTGCACACAACAGACCCCACATCACAGACACACAGAGAGACATCATGCATCGATAGTTAAGAATAGCAACGCCGCCCAGTGCAACTCGTCCCGGAGTTCACCCTCCGAGTACCATCCCTGGTCCAATTTCAACGTGAGTTTCTCCTTCTTGGTGACAACCCTCTCGACGGTGCAGATGAAGCTGTCCTGAGTTAGCTACATAGCGGATTGTGTGGGGTGGGGAATGTCTACGATGCTAGTACAGGACTTATAAGTCTGCATGGCAAGACTCTCGGTCGAAGTTGCACTTCTTGAGAAGTTCTGCAAGTTCATCCTTTTCCCTCGTCCCGGCTTCCCAATATTTTTTGAGATACTCTGGAACCTGGAGATCGGTCCTGGTTTTGTGGGGGGCCACCATGCGCCTGATTCTGGCCTTCGCGGCGAGGTTGAGCATCTCCTGCGAGTTTTTAGAGATGTATATATGACTACATTGTGTGTACGAGAACATGAGCGCCGGTTCAATTAAGTGGGTTGCAATTGCCGAACATGAATGCACGAGGCCGGTCCTGCCGAGTGTACTCCCTCTTCTTGGGGCGCTTGGCAACGCTCTCGGCTGCTTTGTCAAGTGGACGCTTCTGAGGGTTGTGCGTAGTGGTAGGAGCAGCTTCGGGGGGCACCTCAGCAGAAGCCTTTGCTTGCCCAACCTCAGACTCCTCCGAGGGCTGCTCAGTCTTAACAGCAAGATTGCGCACTGGTGTTGCGATGGTCCTTGCTGTCGGTGGGGCCGAGGTCTGGGCTGCCTGGGAACATTCCTGTGCAGGCTCGGCCTTTGCAGCTAGGTTCCTAGGAGGGATCATCTTCTGCAGGCTGCTGATAATTTCACAGTCATCAGGCATAGCATCTCCTTCCTTATAGGTTGCAAAGGCATGAACGTTTGCAGACTGACACAGCATTTGCGTATGGACCACACACAGAGTGAGTGCTTCCAGGCATCGCCACCATCAGCCACGGTGCACTCATATTTGTCCAACAGCTGGCTTTCAGTAGCCTCAAGGAATCTCGAGAAGTAGACAGACAGACAGAGCGAGAGAGAGCGAGAAAGAGAGATAGAGAGAGAGAGAGAGAGAGAGAGAGAGAGAGAGAGAGCGAGCGGGAGAGAGAGAGACCGGAAGAGAAATAAAGGGAGAGATGGAGAGACATAGCTATATATGGTGTATAGTACTATATACATTATATTATTATATATATATATATTATATATAATATATTATATATTATCTTATATATGTAGAACTTTGGGATTTGGTTGGATTGAAAACACACCAACACAGAGCCAGAGAGAGATGAAATGACAGAGAGAGAGGGCAATGGGAGATGCAGACCCAGATAGCGACACAGAGTGATGTATGGCCAGGTGGCTGGCACGGTGTCGGCGGTCTCGGTGCTGGACTCCACATACGGATCGAGGTACGGCACCTCAAGGGACAGCTATATAGGGTTTATAGGGTTTGCAGGGTTTCGGGATTATAGGGGTTGCATAGTTGTGGATCGGCGAGAACTAGCCTGGGCAGCACCAGAACCGTCAGCGGATGTTTCAAGTTCCGCTTGCCGAGCTTCCAGCTCCTGTTGCGGTTGCTTGTTTGGGGTATATAGGGTCGATCAGGATTTATTGGCATTATAGAAGGGTCTTAGAGTTGGGGCTTACATACATGCGTATTTAGATGACTGTTGGGATTGGTTTGTTCATCGTGGATGCCTCGATCGGGTGTTTGGGATGTAGACGACACAAGGGGATCTAGACTGGAGTTCGCCATCTAGAGAATGCTGTAGACTATTCGGGTTATGGAAGTTTCTGCCTTTCAAGAATCTGATAGTCGATGGCACAATGCCCCACAAGGCCCCAATCGTGGCACACATTTACAAATCTCAACCCTGATTTGGGATTTGGAAAGTCAGATGAATAATGGACAGATGGTATGAATGCCAAGAATGACGATGCCAAGGGTAACTAATTACACAGACACAACTAACCCGGTATTTAGCCCCAGTAACCCATCGATCGGTCAATAAACACAAGTATGTGCAAACCTACCTGGAAGCATTCTATATATATATATATATAACCTCATATAGAAACCCTATAACCCCTAAACCTATATAATGTACCCCTGTTCCTCTCCCTCTGTGTCTCTTTCTCTCTCTCTCCTTTCCCTCTCCTTCTCTATCTCTCTTACTCTCCGTCTCCCTTTCCCTCTCCCTCTCGCTCTCCCTCTCTCTCCCACTCTGCCTTCTGAAGACCAAACTTCTGGTTATGTTTTGTCTCTGGAGTATGCTCTTTCTTTCTAGTGCACTGCTTCTCGGCATTGGCACAAAGGCTGCTGTCCTCTATGTGTCTCATAAGCGCCTCTTCCTCGACTTGCATCTGCTGTGCGCTGGCCTCCTGGTCCACAGCAGCTGCTCCCTCAAGGAAGGTGCCACAACTCCATTGTTTGGAAACAAAGGAGTCCATGCTCAGAAACAGAAGACACAAGGCTTGCGCTTCAGGCTTCAGGCTCGAGCAATATAATGTGTGTGTTTCGATTCAAGAAACCTGAAAACCGTGATGGGTGCATGCTTCGACAAACGGAGCTCCAGCACACCGGCACGGTTCAGAGAAACTCTTTCCCAGAACCAGCCAGAATGTGAAAAGCGCATGTATGCATGCGTTGTCGCGGCTGAATTGACAGCTGGAATGCGCTCAGTCTGCTTTGCAGGATGCAAAACGGTGATAAAAACCACCCTGTGAAAAACCCGGTTTTCACCCTAAAAACCCATAATCTAATTACGGGGTTCGATGGGTTATTTATGGGTTGTGAACGCTTTGCGGACGGGTTGGGCCAAACCGGGTTTCTTGGAGGATTGCGGGTTTCTACGGGTTAGGACGGGTAAAAAACGGGTTGTGTACGGGTGAAAACCGGGTTTTCTAGCAAGAACCGGGTTCTTTGATTGCTGGCGGTGCCCAGACTGTACCAAAACCTGCTAAAATCCTTATAAACTGATATAAAAACATTGAACACTCTTCAGAAGCTTTCAGAACCCCTGCAACCCCGCACGAAAGCAGCTGCTAACCCACTATTTAGAGAAGGAAACCAGGTTTCGGGCTCTCATTCTGTATTCAGGGCGGGATTGAAGGATCGATCTAGGTCATCAAGAACGCCGGCTTTCTGGGAAACAGATCTTTCCAGGCTTGATCAGGAAACTCGAGACCCTGGCCGCCCCGTAAATAAACATAGAGCTCACCGAAATTGGCAAAGTCGAACAACCCCTCGTGGCCACCGTACTGCATGGAGGCGAATGTCTCACGAGCAGCTGGGATGTCCTTGGGAAGAGGCGGGCACCCCTTTCCTGTAAGAGTCAAGCTGCTTGCCAGTTTGACCAGATGCCGCGCAAACCTCATCGGATACTCCCTTGGCTGCTCGCTTCTGATTGTCATATATAGAACTCGATCGGGACATGTATTTGGTGCTCGATTTGGACAACACAGCATGCACTGATGAGGGCCGGGTGTCTGAGTAGGCTTCAATGCAGTCGTTCCAGTCCAGCTAGGTTCGCCAGTGCTACGTTTGCCTCTTTTCACGGTTTTGGCCTGGTGCCCATGTTTCAGGCTCCATTGCTTCAGCTGCAAGCGGCCCCGGCAGAGGCCTTTGACATACTCGGAATTGCACCAAGCATAGTGCCTTTTCGGAGTTTGCGACCCATAGTGAGCCACCCACCAGGAAACCCGAAACACCTCAGGAGAAAGTGACACTCTGAGTCTTTTCTAAAGTGTATGAACCGTACCACACCCGTGGATATAGTACTAAGTCAAACACTGAACAAGGGCCGCTCACATCCCAGTGCGCACGAAGCAGGTCCCGGAAGCACGGATAATATTCCAGGCTGGAACCACCGGGTTGTTCAACCAACCACACCCCGCCAACAACCGTGACCAAGTACATGAGGATGGTGCTCCTGCGAAGCCAACAGTGATAGAACAACCGGGTGTCTCCTAGAATCCCATGGATCGAGTGTGTATAGTGAAGTGGATGAAAGCGGGCAGTATACACTCCTCTCCAGTAACTTGTTACCCTCACGGACGGAGGGATGATTCACGTTGCCAAGTGGTGTCGCTGGGCTTCGCATCGATGTCCCTCTGTTCAATGTGCAGAAGGTAGAGCACTGAATTGCAAACGTTGCAAAGAGCTTCCCAGCCATGCCCCGCAAGATGAAATAAATGCCGAGACTTAGTTAAAGCAAGCTGGCTTGGTAGGATACAGGAACGAAAGACCCAACAACTTTATATATGTATATAGAGTTTTAGAGTGTAAAAGGACTATATAAGTCCTAAACCCCTAAACCCCTATATAAACTAGGAAACCACCAAACGAAACTGTATAACCAATCTGACAGGGAGCGCAAAACCTGCAGGTGTGCACAGATCCATGTAGTTTGTGTTATGGTCACATCCTGGCCGCCTCAACTTACCGCCTTTGTGAAACCTGGAGTTGTGCAGTATGTCGAAGCGTGCAGATTTCCTCTGGGATTGCCGCATGGCATACGTCAGGTTCGCCCGGCCGGCGAAGAATTCGAGGAACTCGAAGTCCTGCAGAAGCTGGAGGCTTACTTGGGGTTTACTGGATTTACTTGGGACAAGACCACACAGGACACTTTACAAAGGCACCGGTAGCTATGTTTTTTGACCCACCGAAGATGTCTATATAGGGATTGTGGAATTGTTATTCATGTATCTGTACATACTGTCAGATAGATGAAGACCTAAATTAGAAATTACCCTATATAAGTAATTACAGGACGAAAAGTGTAGACACACCCTTAAATAAATATAGCATATAATGCCTTGGGTTTCTATGTAGATCGAAGGTTGATAGACTCGATTCCGTGGACAGGCACAAGAGAGGCTACCTAGCCAGCCCGCGCACTCGTCAAGGGCACACATTTGGTCACATAAACCACCCACCCATTCTAGCCTATGTAGACATTTGGAATACATGTTGTACAGAACGGTCGCGCCTGGCCGGAACCCTTAATTGGTTTCTAGCTCCGACTGACTGACACATGAACATAACGACTTTTCAAGTTTCGGCTTCAGGCTTGCTATATATAAGCCTATTTATATAAAAGATTGATTGTAGAAGCCGGCGTGATATACAACCTGTAGCTTACCCTACCAAAATATATTATTTGTGCGTTCTTGTTGTAAACCCTTTTCGAGGGATCGAGTTTATAGGGGTCCTACAAAAAACTAGATATACAGGTTTGGTAGGTTGACGGTATGTATGGCTGGTAGGGGGATTCCAGTTCCTAGGCTTTTCTGGGCTTATAGGGTTTCAGTTATGCAAATAAATAAAGAAAGAAAGAAAGAAAGAAAGAAATATATATATATATATATATTTGTATACATACATATATACACAATAGGGGTGTGCATTAGATCTACACACTACAGGGTTTGTATCGCTATAGGGTTTGTATGTACATGAGGGATTGGGCTGGAATTTCCTACCATTGATGTAGATTTGCATTAGATGGACACCGTCTAGAAAATCGCAGCACATCCGGGCGGGGCAGGGCCGGTGAGGGCTTCGGAAAAGGTCTACCATGACACACAATTATATACAGGGTTGCTTCGGTTATTTCGATATGTGTTGGGCTTGAACTCTGGGCCCCGAAACCCAAGGCTGGAAGTCCCGTCACCTAACACCCCAAACCCTATATCCTCGCAGTGAAACACAAACCCCAGTTCTGAATGCCCAAAGCCCTATATAAATCCTAACGCCGACCACTCTAAATCCGGAACACCCAAAACCTCAAGCCCTATACATCCTAAATACATGTATATAAAAAGGTTTATAGGATTTAGGGCTTATAGGGTTTAGGGTTTATAAGGTGTGTATATATATACACACTCTATAATTAAACAACATGGCAGCCATGCTCCCTCACTCCGAGATCTTGGTCCCAGACCCCACACCATGGCAAACAAACCTGAAGTCCCGTCACCTAACACCCCAAACCCTATATCCTGGCAGTGAAACACAAACCTCAGTTCTGAATGCCCAAAGCCCTATATAAATCCTGACACCGGCCACTCTAAATCCGGAACACCCAAAACCTCAAGCCCTACATCCTATAAGACTCGAGACACTGAATCTCATCTTCCCGAACATATATAGACTTGTAGGTCCCAGAGCTCACAGAGCGAGAGCGAGTTCATGCGCGGGAACCCGGGACCAGCTTTGAAGGACCGTATCTAGGGGTTGTGGGGTTTGGGGTTTAGGGCTCATAGGGTTTAGGCTTGGGGTTTACAAGGGTTTCCACTGAGACCCCAGGAAACGCTGAGGTTTTGACCCCTTCTAGCCATATATAATGCCCTGTGCAAAATGTAGTCAGGGACTGAAAGGGGTGAATGGCCTTTTGCATCTTTGTGGCTTCAGGATTTAAGGCTTTATAAGGTTTTTGGGGTTTTGAGGATTTGATTGTATTCAATCTTATAAGTGTAAGTGTCGATAAAGTTTACACGGCATATTAACTCCTGTTTAATGTAAGGTATGCAGACCCATGTACACCTAGCTTGAATAAACTATGTTAACCTCGATCATGCATAGCAGTGAATCCTGGTCCAGGTTCCGAACGGAAAAGATAACCAGCAGGAGGCACGCCACAAACTCCTGAGCAAAGTGGTCTTAGGAAGCGACTAGCATATCTGTGAATCTGTACATCTGGAGTCTATGTTGTACCGAAAGCCAATAACTTACACCGGGTCGCTTTCGGCACAGACATGGCTGAGAGCCGCCACAGCAGCTCATCTAGTCGAGAGGGCTCCATCTCAAAAGCAAAGCCTACCGCTCGCACGATGCTGAAGTGAGCTGGCCGGAATTCAACATTCAACAGAGAGCAATCTCAGCACACCCTCGCTACCAACATATTTTGCTATGCTTGCAACGATTCAACAATGACAAGGTAGCCTGTCTGCCCCGATAAGCGTGGCAGGTGTAACCGACACGCTTGCACCTCTCCAGCCGCAGCTTCCAAGCGAAGCCCCGAGAAGTGGTATGGCCTCGGCAAGCGATCGGTTGCCAGGGGTGTAGGCCTTAGATATGGTTTTAAATTTTCAATTTATATAGAGGGTATCTAGGGTTCCTGTGTTTACAGGGTTACATTGGGGTTTTAGGATTATTTTTGTGGCTTCTGCTGATTTGATTGGGACTTATTCGAGATGTCTCGGTAGCTTTGGCAATCTGGCTATATGAGAAAGGCCTACACAGTAGGACTGGTCGCTTTTGCAAAGATTTATGGACTATTTGGGGCAATGAGCGAATGCACCGAATGCACTATATACCCATGGGAGACGAGAGGGCGAAGGCTCCATAAAGTGTTGAATTGAATGTTGTCTGATTTAGACGGGGTCTTCTAGACTGCTTGGTTGGATTTTGGCGTTACAGAGATATGTGATTAAATTGTGCTAGCTCCAGGTGGCACTTCAGCTGAATGGCAGAGTCGAGTCGTTCACTGCACTTCAGCAGAGCAACGTCCGAGTCGAGCCCGAATCCACTAAGATGCAGATCTACGGCAGCGTCGCCATTCGTGCTGGCAGCCAGAGGGACCGGCCATGCAGTTTCAATCATGTTAGTCTATGTACGAAAGACGATAATTCTTTGTGGCAGACACATATCATGGAGAGCACCGGCCGGCTTGCATCAGTTGGACCCGGATTGTAACACAGAGAGAGTTCTGAAGTCTTCTTGCCCCAGATTGGAATCATGATATCAACTTGTGGCAGTTCCACAAGCGCCAAAAGTCGCGAGCCGACCTTCCCTATATACACAGCACACAGGATAAGGCTTGCAAATCAACAGAGTAACAATGTGCAGATTGCACATAGCTTATCTAAAGCAGAGCACACACCGCCTGACCGCCTTGTGTACAAATGACGATCACTGTATTATTTCGAAACGAACTAGGAAAGGCTTCGTCGCTGAACCCATATACATGGTAAGCTCAGGGAACACTGCCTTTGGCAGCCATGCATCCCAGCTATGCAGACAAGAACATAGCTCCCACTCTAGGCATGGCCACTTGTGGCAGGATTCACAGCCTCAGTTACAGGCGGTCGTTCAATCGTGAACCCCGTCTTCGATGTCTTGGTCGACGATGGCCTGCATGACCTGACGGCCATGCCTCACGACGCGTTCGTAGTACTCCACCACCTCGGGATCTTCCAGTAGCACGGCCATGCCCTTCTCAGCAAAGCCCTCCCATGTCTCCACGGGCCGCTCCGCCAGAACAGTGTCGACGAACTCTGCCTGATCGTTGCATATAAGTGCATGGCAGAAACACCAAAACCACTTAGCTCGCAAAGAACATGATTGCATGTTGCACAGTAGAACATAAAATCTGGAAGCAAGGAGCCATCTCGATCCCGACTAGGATGGACACAAGCATGTGGATGCGATAGCAGATGTTACAGGGGCAGGGGTAAGCATTGTAAAAGAAGTCCTTGTTGCGATCATGCTTCTTGAACTTGAGGGCCACGGCAGGCCGAGTCCAGTAGATAATCAAGTTTGCCTGCTCGAAACTGGAAAGGCAAGACCTTAGCCGCTTCTTGGTTTCAAGATCGAACTTCTCCTCCTGGCCATAGCACTGCTGCCCGTATGCCACAAAGCGCTCCATCATGTCGTCGTCAAACGGAATCGTCATGTCATGGGCGATCGCCGGGCGGAGGCTACCGGCTTTGGCTTTGGCCCTAGGCTTCGCTCTCGGCTCCCCGGCCGCTGCTGCCCCATCAACCTCGGACTTCGGAGCTGGGAGAGCCTTTGCGTCCTTTGACGCCTTGGCTTTCCCCTTGGCCTTGCCCTTGGGTTTCGGAGCTGGGGCAACCTTTGCTTGGGAGCCTTCGCACTGGACTTCCGGGCTGGGGGATTCTCTGCATCACCTACCGGGGTGGGCTTTGCTTTCGCTTTCGCCTTCGATTTCGGAACTGGGGGAAGCTTTGGGTCCTTTGGGGCGGCTTTGCCTGAAACCCTGGACTTCGGAGCTGTGGGAGCCGATGGCTTTGCTGCCTTGGCCGGGGACGAAGCTTCCGAGGCGATGTCCTTGATCTTGGTGTTCTTGCGCGCGGTTTTGAGCAGCAAGCGGCGCTTGCTCAAACGCTTCTTAAGCTTCTTCCCCTTTCGACCCTCAGCAGCAGCATCACCATCAGCATCAGCATCAGCGGCTTCAGCAGTTCCGGCATCTTTGCTGCAGCCTCCGTCCTTTCGGCGGCGCGTGCCTGCATTCTGGTCGGTCTTCATCAAGACCTTTTGCGATTCCTGCACCTGTTCACGAAGAGAACGAACTTATGAAATCTGTTAGTCAAACCATGTATGTGGTACTAGCAGGTCTCATTGTAACAAACAAGTGCATGGGCACTTTCTCCTCCGGTGTGAAAGACATGCTGTCAAACTTGGAGGATGACGAGGGTGTAGAAGGCGGGTTGGATGGCGGCTGTTTCCTCTTACGTTTCGTGTCTCGAAGCTTGACAGGGGTGCCCTGGGGAATCTCTAGATCCAGCTTGGAAGCCGTAGGCGTCGGCACTGACAAAATGTCCGTCGGCTGAGTCTCCACGTTGTCCAGACATCCTACAGTGCAAACCATATTTGGTTCAGCAACACTGTATCACATCATTCGAAACTACATACACAGAATACACGGTCTCAAGTTGCCCTGTCCTGCGGGACGCACCGCATCGGACTTGGGCTTCTTGGAATTCTCAACACAATCGCCTCCCACATCCAAGAGGCGTTTCTTTTCCTGTAGCCTCAGATATATAAGACATATATCCCATGCATACTTTGTGACTCAAAAATGCACACAGGCAAAAACAGGTCCTGCAAACAGAAGCCCATGCTATAAATGTCCGAATGCAAACAAAGTAGCTTCTGCAATCTCTCCTTGGCCTCCCTGAGCTTGTCTTGCACCTCGATCATCTAGCTTCCTGATCGCAACAGAAGAGGGTCACTGAGTTGTGGCTCTAATGTTCCGTAGACTACGGTGTTGCATCTAAGCTTCTGGGCAGCGGCGGCTGTGACCAGTTCTTTGGACCCCCACCCACCAACGGCTCTGCTGCTGTCTCACGCTGATCCACCGCATCCGGCAACGGCACTGATGGTGCTGTCTCACCCACATCCGGCAACGGCTCTGATGGTGCTGTCTCACCCGCATCCGGCAACGGAACTGATGGTGCTGTCTCAGCCGCATCCGGCAACGGCTCTGAGGGAGCTGTCTCAACCCCCGGCGGGGCTGTGTCACCCTCATCCCCCTCGAACAATTCCTCCTTGACATCCGTGTCCATGGTGAGGTCAACCACGTTAGCACCATCACCACCGTTTTCCTCGGGCTCCTCTGGGGCCTCTGGGTCCGGTGCATCATCCTCATAATCATCCTCATCTTCTGCGGCCTACCGAAATAAGACCCTGCAACGACTCAGAGAACATTGAATGACAACTGAAACCTTGCCTGCGGGTTGCTTTCAGCCGCCTGCGCCGCCGCGAGGGCCTTCTTCTGGTTGATTTCGTCCACCACTGCCTGACAAAATCACCCATCCCAAATCTATATATACGTCTTCTTTATGTGGAAAATCACTTTAAAATGGGTTTGTTTACGGGCTTGGGGCACGGATTCTGTAGCAGGCCTGCAGCTCTGGGTCCAGGGTCAAGCAGAGCTCTTGGAACCCAGGATCCTCGCAAGAACATGCATTCTGTGATCGATGTGTCAAAACAACACGAACTCTGTGCCGATCACTTCTCTGCCGACTAGAGTCAGCGGATGGCTGGCTCTTCCGGCACTTCATCTTCACGAAGCCTGCATACTTCCTCAAACCCCAGGCAGCATGATCCACCTCCGAAACCACAATCTCGCGCTGGTTCAACAGATAGAGAGCCTTCA